TTAAGGTTTGCACTTTGGATGGCGACACAATGAACCCTTTTAATGAGCCCAAGAGACATTATCCAGTCTGCTGAGGGTTAAACAGAGTGAAGCTCAGACAAACAGTCATATACATGCTACATTATCCCGTTTTCTTTCGGAGTTCTCTCGAGGACTTTTTCCTTCTATTCTAAAACAGGATACGATGTTTACATGCACAAACACAAAAACTTGATATTTAAAAAAACCCGGTCAAAACCAGGATAATTAAGTGTAAATACACTCAATTTTTATGTTTGAGGGCTTGGAGGGGCTTGAAAATGTTTGCATCTGCTAAAAGGGGGCCCGGCAGAAAGGATTTGGGACCCATGGAAGACCAGATATTTCCTATTATATAAAAGCAAATGAATCTTACACCTGATTCAATAAAGTGTCTTTGTAGAGCGAAGAGTCCCTGAGTAAACAGTATTTAATTTAATAACTCTTTCTGTCAACTCCTATAATTATAAAGCTGTGAAGACCTGAATTCCTTAACAGGACCACAGGAGATCTAATTTTTAACTAATCTAATCAATTTAGCAAGTAAGAGAGTTCTAGCAAAGTACAATGTCTCTCCCTCACAGTGAATGAGATATGCCTACAAATCACAGCTTTTGAAGCCAGCAGAGTGCAAGCACTCAGTATTATTTTCTACAGTAGCAATCTTGCCCACACTATGGAATTTGGGGATCTATTTTATCCATACAAACAGAGCTATATAACACATGTATGTTTAAGGTATGGAGGATAGAGGATGCTGTATGGTGAGGAAGCATTAGTTCTCCATCACTGATCTTGGGGTCTTAAAGTTAAACGCTGTGACCAAATAGCGATTTCAAGAAGTGTTTCATTAAAACAGCAGCTAGCAGGTGGACATTGCCATTCTCTTTGGAGAGGTAAATGCTCTCTCCTATAAAAAGGTGTGAAAACACATATGTCAGTCCAATGAGCCAACCCATCCGTTGAACATCTCTGTACCTCATTGCTCCTGCCTTACAGTTTGTCTGAATGTGTCTTCTGGCTGTGGGCGAAAGACCTTTCCCCCAAAAGGCTTTCGTATCCTGCTTTGTATGTGTGTGTGTGAGTAGGCTGACATCTTCAACATTACTTTGAGCTACTGGTGCATTGGGGCATATCTGTCTTCTTAGAAGAGGGCACCATAGACGCCGTCATCCCACCAGCCTCTTACTGAGCAGCAGAGAGAAAAGTGACTGAAATAGATGGATGCCCTGACTGAATTATGCCTTTCATTCATTCACCTGGTGACTGAATTCCCTCTTTAGGCCTGCTGTCCATTAGTTGTGAGTCTGATTTTTAAACCAACGACATTTAGAGCAACCTTAGTTTAGTCGGACAACTCTGTAGAATCTGTGAAATTACTGTGATGACAAATATTTCAAATTATGAGTGAACAACACAAGAATAATAGAATAGTAGTTATCCTCTTATCTAACTCCTTTGACAAAGTAAAGGTGTATTTCCCCAAATATTGAACTGCTCCTTTAAACCATTCAGGGTGATGTGGCTGTGCAGACCTTTAGGTGAAAAAGTAATAGGAAGGAAGTGACTGATCTCCTTCATATCCCAAAGCAAGGATGGGATCATTTATTGATCTGGACAATTCATAAGGTGTCATTGTGAAGTGTCACATCAGGTGACAAACTGCTTTCATGTCACACAGACCCAGAGGCCCTGTGTCACCATGACAGCCTCCTTCTCTGTCGGTTGTATGTTTTTTTTTTTCTTCCATATTTTGCCTCGAGGTGAGCATACTTATGAAGTGCACAGTTAAAACTACAAAAGCAATCGAGCAATGTGGAGAAAATTCTAAAAACATAAAATATGAATGGAAAAATGCAAACAAAAGTCGTCAGACGGAGAGCAAAACGTGTACAAAAGTTTGTATATGTCATAAAATCTTCAGCTGAACAGAAGCCATATAAATTAATTCCGGCTTAATGGTTGAAATATAAATAGTTTTGATTTAATCTCTTCTTATGCTTAGAATTTAAATGTTGAATTTCATTAAAGCAAAGGCATCATCTAGAGAGATCTTTATATACTCATGCTATATTAACCTTTTATATGGTTTATTAAAATGTTGGTTTTCTGTTTTATTTTATTTTGACATGTATATTCTTAAAGAAAAATAAGTATGTTCATGAAATGCAAAAGAATAGTGTTTGGAAATCATAGTTTACAGGAATACATTTTTTTTCTGATAGGAGCAGAAAACAGAATTTCAGAATGATTAGGGTTGTATTTAGCCTTGATCTATCCCCTCTTTTCTTAGAAAAACAAGCCACTTAAAATAAATAGTGAAGCAGCTTCAGAGCTCTTTTTTGTTTCTTATTTTAATGAAAGATGCTACTTGTTGGATGTTTCACTCTGATTAGCTTTTAGACAAGGTTGGAGATAACACCCTTATGAATATGTTTTTTATATAAAAGAAGAATGAAACCTCATTAAAGTAGATCAGTTTTGAAGAAAACAAAACACTACTCCTTCTCATGTGTTTGCTTGGAAGGGCTATGTTACAAGATTTTTGTTGCCCTTTGTTTCTGTTTTGTGACACAACTTTGAACTCCATGCTCCTTTCCATCAGTCACAGGTGATGGGGGCACAGGGGATCAATATTTCATTTATGTTACGAGATTGAGGTCCCTACTCACGTCGATTCCAATGAGCCAGGGTGAAAAAAGCTGAGTTGGCGGTAGGGTTGTCCCTGCACATATTGAGTCTGCCTACAAGAGAGTGCACTTACAATCAGCTTGAAGAACAATTGTTCTGGTGACTTGGGAGGAGAGCAGTTCAGCAAAATCAGTAAAGTTGTCATATGATAAAAGGCAGATTTGTTCTAAAGGAGATTATTAAGGATGAGACCAGGACTCATCCAGCATTAGACTTGGACTTTATTGTCCCCATGGGAAAACTCTTTTTCACTGTACTGTGTGTATACTTTAGGTCACAAAGTGATGTAAGGTAATAATTGCCTGTTGGTAGCATGCACTACATCTGTAATGAAGCATCAACATTCATTGGTTCTTATATAATTTATAAACCTTTTAACTTGAATTTTTGAACACAAAAATATTTAAATTCATTTCCTGTATAATTATCTAATCATTTGAATCAAAAGGTGTCTCATATCTTTTTTTATACATTGCAAGAGAAGACAACTTTGCTTTATTCTGGTTTCACCCTTGAAACAACTTAAGACTTTAATGACATTGCAAAATATATATTTTTCTCTTGCATCATCTGTGGTCTAGTGTCCCATTTATTTCTCACTTGCATTTAAAAGTCTAATATTTTCCAATTTTGAGTGTTGTTGTTACTCTGCCTTCATATCTGCTTCGATTCCAAGCTTATATCTACGGCCCTCATCCTGTGACTGATGGGAATCTTAAATCATCTTGTCTCTGCTGCTAAGAGCAAAGAAAAAAAACATGGTTATACATTACAAAATTGACCAGAGACACACACACACACACACACACACACACACACACACACACACACATATATATAAATATACTGTATATATTTTCAATTATGGTTAGACTGGTTATCTGTTTCATTAAATAGAGGAAGACAGAGATATAGAGGGTACAGGGTAGAACGACAGCCTCTTAGCGTATTACTCACTGGTTAAATCACCATCTTCATTACATTATAAAGATCGTCTCTGAGAGTCCCGCTCTGTTGTGAACAAGGAGTTAACATAGAGATTTGTCTAATATTTTTTCTCTAGTGTCTGTACAATGTCAATGGTCATACCTTCAGATGTAGTGTATCCATGTTTTAAAATATTGTGGGTAAAGGATGTACAGAAATAGATTATACTGGGGCGCTGGTGGCGCAGTGGTTGGTGAGCGCGCCCCATGTATGGAGGCTATAGTCCTCCAAGCGGGCGGCCCAGGTTCAAATCCGGCCTGTGGCTCCTTTCCCGCATGTCGTTCCCCACACTCTCTCCCTGATTTCCGATTTTATCCACTTTCCTATCTCTCAATTAAAGGCACAAATCTTAAAAACAGCAGTGTTGTAGGTGTAGTTAATGGCAATGTACTGACTTTTAAGGTAGAGAATAATCTGAATGTGGCCTGAAAAGCCGCTCATGTTTGTTGTTGTCTTAATGATCATGAAATATTTTTGATTATTTGTGTCTCTTTGAATTAAAGGGATACTTCACCCGTTGAAACATGAATCTGTATTGACATTGGGTCATATATGTAGTAGAAATGTGAAATAAATTTTGAAGTTGGTGCCTTCTTGGCTGTGAAAAGGCAGAAAGTGTCTTTTTGGCTCATGTTGATAAAAGACACCAAATCCCAGAATGCACAGCACCGCAGGCCACTCCCACTAAGGTCCTCTAGTTCAGAATCACAAATACTTTATTAATCCCAAAGGGAAATTCGATCGATACAGTTTCTCCAAAATATACAGTATAGCAGTAGAAATATAGTAATAAAAACATTTACAGACATATTTACTTCAACACATAAGACCGTTTCCTCAACTGATTCCGACATTTCGGCTAGCTCACGGTGGCCGAACTTGCGGCCAAAACACAAGACCGGCCTGTCGGCAGCAGCCATCTCATCGCTATATTTATATTTTTTCGCCATTATCAGCATTCTCCATAGAGCCTGTTAGCATAGCTTCCAAGCAATATGGCGGACGTTAAGTTTCGATTCTGGGAGTGAGTTCCCACCCACTGATCTGTGATTGGTCTGTAGCTTCAGTGGTCGAAAATATGAGAAACTAGTATTGTAGTTTCACCCTGCTAACCGCAACAGCTCCTTTTCAGACTTAGAAATACAAAAATTTCCCATCTCAGGGGAAAATGAGGGCGGGATGCACGACCATTCAAAAATACTACCAAGTTTCTAATGATACAAAGCTTAATGCAAATGAGTGAAGTATCCCTTTAATGTTTTAACCTAATCTTTCTCTCTTTGTTGTTCCTCTCTCCATCATAGATCATATCAAGCGGAAGGTTCGGCGGCGACCATCTTGGGGGCGGGGCATCATTCGTAAAAAGAAGACCTACAAGAAAGGGACAGAAGAGGAGGAGGAGGAGGAAGACCCTGAGCCAGAGGTGGAGGCCACAGGGCCCAGTGACTCATGCTTGACGCAGGATGAGGAATCATCTTGCGATACCATGGGTCCCCAGCCCAACGGCCACCATACCCACCTTCCCTCCACAGAGGAGGAGAGCTCCAACGAGCCTCCTGTTACAGCTCCCGCCGTTCCTCCAGATGTTAGTGAAGCCACAGAAGAGCCAACAACCGAGGAGGAGAAGCCCACAGCCAAAGAGGTGGAGTCTGAGAAAACTGAGCAACGCACTGAGCTTCATAGTCCAGGTGATAGTTCTGAGCCCATGGTGGACGGGGATTGCCAGGCTAAGCTGGCTGGCATCCAGCCTTCCACTGATACGACCGAGTGTTCAGATGCTGAGGCCGAGCCTAAGCACACAGATGTTCTCCTGCAATCACATGTGGACTGTGTGAATGGAAACGATTCAATGGACAGCCTGGACTCACAAAGCCTGGATAAGAGCAGTGAAGCTGAGAAAGGGACTCCTCAAAGCATGGCTGAGGGCTCTCATAATACAGATCAGGAAGAGCACAAAGACAGAGATGAGAGCAAACCAACTACTCAGGAGAACCCTCCCCAGGATGGAGGAACAGTAACAGAAAATATTGAGGAAGATCAAGATAATGAAGGTATAAATCTGGACTCAAAGGTTTCTGTGATCCAGCTTTGATTACTCGATTAATTAGAACACAAAGAGTTTTGTTCCTTTATTTACGGCGTTGTTCCTGGGATAAAGAGTACCTTTTCTGCTTAGAGCTGGATTCATAGTGAATTTACAGCAGTTTCTTATTGTATAGTTTTGGGTTACAGGGTAAATACTTGAGCGCATCCATCACTTCTGCAGATACTTGGTCAGTCTATATTGCTATATAAACTGGGTTTATCTGATGTTTTTCCAACAGTTTGTTTCCTGAGTTGAAACTTCACATGTACTTGCTAATTGGACCGTTACCCTAAATAAGAAATTAAGCATGTTAACAAAATATTCAAATATTTATAGAGATTCACCCACCTTTTCATGTGTTTCATGTGTTTTTTAATATCCTCCAGCTCTTCAGATTAACATGCAGTTTGTTTTTGTTAAATGAAGTATAGATAAGAGAGGCCATGATTAATGCAACAACAGTAAAAAAAAATACAAGAAAGCTAACTCAGACTCCAGAAAAAATACTGGGGGGCTGACAGGAGAAATTCTGGGTGAAGTCCAAAAGAAAAATGTGGCTGTTTGCATTCACACATAAAGCTCCTTCTGCACATATCAGCTTTTTTTCCTGGAGTGTTTTTGCAAGTGTGAAAGCCATATACCTGTATGTGTAGCGGTTGCAGACATTCCCAGTCTTCTGATATGGATTCTGAAATATTGCTCCATAGTCTTCAAGTCAGAGATAAGCCGAATTAAGTTTCTTGGATTGTTTACAAGCTTTTGGCTTTGCTTGTGGTGAATGGAGGCTATCTGGAGAGCTGACGCATTGTCCCATCAGAGGATGGCACGATCACAAAACAGAACACAAACAAACTGTGGCTCCTCAAAGAACAGACAAGTCAACTGCTCCACCCCCTCATTCATTACAGACTGTCCTTTTGTTTCCATCCAAACATTTCTCAAGCACTCTTATAAATAGACAGGAAATGGGCCCGCTGCTAGTAGCTTCAAATAGATGTTCTTCACAAACCATTAATCTTGTGTTCATGGCAGTTGAAATTCATTTTCTCTTTAGTGGTTCATGACAAAAACAAAAAGGGCCTTGAATTTGGCTCACCAATTCAATTCTGAGGAGGTTGTGTGTGATTGCTGTCGTTCTGCATCAAGTGTTTACAACCATCACTGTTAACTCTTCTTCTATCAATAATCCATTTATTAGGAGGTTCCGACGCCAGGAAACGCAGTAGGAGCCTGTCAGAGCAGCTGAAGTGTTCTGCAGAGGGGACAGAGGAACAGCCACAACCACTCCCTCCCCATCCTCCTGTAGTGGTCGATCACCAGCGCCTTTCGGTAAACATTTCTTAAATCACTTATTTTGCTCAATAGTAGTGCATCGGCTCATTATATTCTCAGTCTGACGATTACTGTGGTTTGGGGTGCAATTTGGAAGCTTAAGAGAGCACAGGTGTAGATAATGAGATGCATGGAGATTTTATTCTACCGAGCTACTTCACTTTTAGTCACACTCTCTGCTGAGGCTTGCTGGGACATTTACATAAGCTGTCAGTTATGCCTCTGTTCACATGTACTTTCACTCAATTATCCGGACTGTACAATCTGTCCTCATATTTAGAAAAATCATCATGTGGACAGACCTAATTTTCTCAGCAGTTATGCTGGGAAAAAAAAACATGAAGACATCTCTAACACATTACACAAAAATTTTTACATTTTGGTGATGATTGATTTATTCAATATGATCCCTTTATCCTATGGAAGAACAGCAGCACTTTCAAAAGTATGTGGCTCAACAAGCGGTCAAATAATCTGACTGTATTTGTTTATACTCTAGTGTATTATTATACATGTATTGCTCTGTTAGATGGTTTGTATCCATGTGTGATCTTATTAGTTTTGTCAATTTGTCACTGCATCATTTGTTGACATGTTCAGATTTTCCTCAAACAGGCTGAAAAAGAAAAATGTAGCTTCTCTACTATGTAAACCTAATTCAACCCCTTACCTACCCATCAAAACACATTAGATCCATAACGATCTGCGGAACTGTTTAAAAAAAAACTTGATAGAAGCGTGTAACAGCCAATGAGAGCTTTTGTTGAGCGGATGTGCCTTCCCCTGTTCTAACGTCTCTTGTATCCAATTAAATTCTTTAAACATGGATAATGCTGCTTCTATCAATACTTCAGTGTGATTTCTTCATGCGCACACTAAGGAGATTAACTAAAAGTACAAGGGGTGTTCAGAACTGCATTAAAAGTATGAATAAGTTGTTTTTCATACCAACAGAGGCTATGAGGCATGAAATATTTGGAATAAACGGACAAATCTATGTAAAATTAGACATTAAAGGTACCTGGAATGGAATTATTCTTGTGTTTGACTATGAGACTGGCAGTCGACAGAGGCTTGGACGAAAGAATCGTCGAGCACTCAGATATATGTGGTTGGCCCTTGTCTTAATAAAGATACATTTACCATTATTCCAACAGGGCCAAAGAAGACAGCACATACATTGAAAGTTTTATGCAAGTGGGCTTTAGGTATGGAGGAAGGGAAACTCAGCCATGGGTGACCAGCTTTACGCTCCATGTGTGCAGGGTGCAGATGATGCTGTCACACCGCTCTTCTCACGTGGATAACTCTTGACAGCTGAGACTTATCTCACCTTTTATTCACCCTTTAGTCGCGTCGAACTCTCTCTCCTATTCTCATGTTTTCACAATACTTTTTATACTCCTGCTATCTTAACATGGAGCTAGTCCATTGTAGAATCAGACCATGTTCACTTCAATCAATAGCTGTTGTTTCTAAAAAAAAAAAAAAAAAAAAAAGGAAGAAAACAAGGTTGTGACTCAAACATGAGCTTCCCTCAGCCTCACTACACCCCCCAGCTTGTCCCAGTATGTGTTTGAATAACAGGGAGCATGTGGAGTGGCTCTGATGTACTTTGCAAAGTCTTACTGGTTTTCCACCTAATACCCCAAGTGTAAATTGGGGCCTCGGCTCAGTGGGCTCCCTGACAGCATTTCCCACTGATCAGAGGGGGTTTGGGGTTTAAGGGGTTGGCTGTAGGGAGCGGTGTTACAAGTGTAATTGATGTAGAAGTGCTCTTCTGACAAAAGCGTACTTCTTACCTCCATGCTCCAACTTTGATTGACCTGTGTGCCTCGGGCTTGATGGGGATGGTGAGATACGCTGTGTGTCTTCCTAAACTTGACTCGACCCTTAAAAGTCATTGACATGCTTTATAGTTGGCTTGATCTCAGTGCCACAGCTCCTATGGACAGCCACACACAGAACTAATCTTCAGGTTTATTTGTTAGCAGGAGAAAAAAGGGAGATGTCTTTTAGAAACAGATTGTGAAAACAGGACGCTGTGGATTGTTGCTTTTTCATGACGGGTTGACGGAACTAATTGAATATCCATTGAGCAGGACGAGAGCCACAGTTTAGCAGATATTTGCTGGCAGGGCCGGGGATGGCATGCTGCCTGATGTGTGTCCGGACCTGAAGTGAGTGCTGAACTGATTCTCCATTCGTATTCATTTATCGCGGATGGCTTATTATCTCTGACTTTTAACTTGATGGAAGAGGCTCTGAAATCTCTCGGGAATAAAACAACATCACAGTGTCATGAGTTTGTTCATGAATCATTCTCTGTCTATAGGACCGAGCTGGTATTACTTCTGTATTCATGGCCCATCTTTCCGAGCTATGGCACATATTATATATTCGCTTTGATACACTTAGCCAAATCAAGTTCTGTTATTGCCATTTTGACTGAAATGATGCCTGGTGCCGTCTGGATCTAAATGAAATCCTCAGCATGAATAAATAGGTCCTGAGGCTTGTTTCTCTTACTACTCCAAAATGTTTCTTATAGTCAGCTGTTAGCTTTCATCAGTAATCAAACACTGTCCACAGATGGTCTGGAAGAAGTGGTGCTGACGATTGCAGATGAGTATTCAGTAACAAGAAATTCAATCTGGCCTGACAATTTTCCCTCCATCTTACTGAAAACACATAAGTATTGCCTGCTCTGCAGTTTTCTGCAGCAGCTCCCCAAAAGGAGCTAGTGTTTGTAGTTGCTGGTGCAGTATGGGGTCTTTTAGATTGATGCTCAGCTGTCAGGATTTCCTGTTTTAGACAAGCCTGTAAAATAATGGTCCAATTGTATTTTTTCCAAACTTCTTCATTTTTGCCACTAATAACAGTTGGGGGCCCTCTGGCAAAGTGGCCATGATGCATTTGTGTTGAAAAGAGAACAGCTTAATACAAGAGCTGGACCACAGTTTGATTGGCAATAAAAATAGATAGCTTTTGAAGTGCTGCTTTTATTCCAATTCAATCCCAATCATGGCTTTGACAGTGCGGCCATTTGCATGTGATTGTACTCGCAGAGCTGAGTCGGCATGTGAGAGCCAATAGTGTAAATAGCTGACACAGCATAATCATACAGGTTTGATTAATAGCATCCTTTGAGTGTTAAAACCCCAAACATACCACTCAGCCCTTATGTAACTAAAGTATTGTACTGATCATCAGATGAATACATTTTCAAATGCTTGGCATTTCTGTTGTTAAGCCGGGACGGTTTAGTAATAGCTCAAGTATTGTTCTAGTGCTTGAAAGCAAAATCACTGTATAGCATTTGAGCTAATGGAAACATGCTGTAACAGCTGGAGGTGATATGAAAAATATTAGAGGAGCTCTGAGACTTATTTAAACTTGTTGAAAAGGAGTAGTATATGTGACCTTTAACCTCGACCAAAGCTTAACTTTTTCTTTTTTTTTTCTCTTTTTGTTTGGTTTTGCCTTTGGTGCTTTTTGAATTCTGGATCAGGAGGATTTGCAGTCCTGTGTGGAGTGATGTTTGTTTTATTTGTGTACGGCCTGTGTTAGACTTTCTCCTTGTTTATTATCCAGTGATATTGGAGTTCAGCTGTCTGAAATCCAGCCTGAACTTACCAATGTTTTTTTTCCATACTTGTTTATTTTATTGAACAGATTCTTACACCCCAAACCTTCATCTTTTTTAAAAACCTCCCACTGGAAACAGAAGAGTGAAGTTTACATCTATGTTATCGTTGTTTTTAGCTTGATCTTAATTGATTAACAAAGGATAATAGTGAGAGATCAGTGACAATAATTGCCCTTCTGTATTCATATGCATGTAATTTAATTAATATTTCAACAATACCTCCCAGTGCAGAGTCAGGGTATTTCTTAAGTGTTAGGCTTGCTCAGGCTCTTTTGGGAGCGTTAAAACACAGTGTGATATTGTTTGTGGGGGTAGGAGTTGTATTTTACATTCACAGGTCAGTGCTTATTCAGTAGCTGGTGGAAAAGAATCTTAATATCTAATGCTGGGATTTCAGGGCTTCTGCTGATATTGATATTTGGGAGAGTCGAGAATGATAAACACACCGATAGCTAATCTCATAATGTAGACAAACAAGTCTTGATATGCAACCAAGTTTTTCACTGAGTTGAATATTTTAATTAGAAAGGTAAACTTAGAAATTAGTTGAATATAGCTCTTACGGTTGTCTATAATGAAAAGGAAACTACAACTACTACAACATTTATGAAAACCACTTTTTGGGACTGACTATTCTGGAGTATTGCCTGGGCCTGCATAGGGCCTCGGCATACACTGTGAAGGAAACTCGTCTTCAATCCCTCAGCTCTTTAGTGATTCAACAGAACTCCTGTATCGATTTTTGTTCTACAGTGAACATGGTAACAATTTTATTTATCAACTATTTATATCTTTTTTTCTATCTTGTTTTATTTGATGTATTAAGTTGTGATTGTGTAGCTGTTCCAGATGTACTCTTACTGCTTTCAACAATCTAAGTCTCAGTCACTGATTAATTCAGGGGACATTCAGAGTTAGGGATATTCAGATGTTGAAATACACAGAGGTAATAACTTAGATAACATCTTGATTAAAAAAAAGTAACATAGGATGATTTATATTAAACAAGGAGACACAAGTTATAGCATTATAAAGAGTATTTAACTAGATGTATTTTATACATAATCATTCAGTTAATATAGAACTTGTATTAAGGATCTTACTGGTTCCTATAAGAAAATATTTTCCTTCTCTATTGAAGGCCTGCATGGCCATCGGATGGCTTCGGTAATGCCAGTGATTTCATATTATAAGTTAAACCTCACAGTTCATATGAAAGAGGAGTCAGCAGAGTTGTAATGCACTGAGAGCGTGCTAATTCAATTTGTCATGAATTTCCATAGCCCTTATAATACTATCTATATTGCATTACCTGTGTGACTGAGTGCCCTGTGATACACTCAGTGTGTCACTGCAACTTGATTTTCCTCACCAGCAAATCACCATCCACCAGTGTCACATCCACCTCTTCCCCTACTAAAGACATTCATGGATTCCATGTTAACAATGCAAACCGCAATCATTTCTTATTCGTTTTTATGGTAGTGTTAAAGACAAGAATAGAATAAGTAAGTTACTCCAGGAAGATCTGGATGGCTCTTTAGTTGATTGAAAAAGGAGTAAATTCCCCTGAGTGTAAAAATACCCATAATTCTTTGTTCAAATGTATTTGGCAGATAATGGCAGATTCAACACAGGAACGCTGGATTAAGATCGGGAAAAAGTATTTTTCATTTCATGACGACTTTGAAACTGTCCCTTGTGATGGAAACTGCTGGACTTGTGAAATATTTTCTCTCACTCAATGCCGAGGAAAGCTTTTTAAAAACAAAGGCACACACACACATGAGATGCATCCTTTTTGATTAAATAGGATGACTCTCTAATATAACACATGTACCTCCAACCTATATGTATTATTTACAGGCTCTTTGGATGAAAGGTTTTTTTCTATACCTTTCATTTGTGTGTAACAAAAGTCTTGAATTGATATAACCATCAGCATTTTTAATTGTGGAATAGCAGCAATATACCAATTAACAGCTCTGTGTTCCACTTTACCTGTGTTCGTCAGGATAATGGGGATGTATAGAGATGCAAGTAAAGATGAGGAAGGGGAGATGGAAGAGTGACTTCAGAGTAGTTTGAGTTGAAATGGTCATTGGCAGTAGGAGCCTTGAAAGCATGGGATTACTGGCTGCTACTGTGCAGCAGGTTCATTCAATCACTAATCCCTGTGTAAGACACACTCACACCATTTACCCCACACTGAGGCAGACCTCCTGATCAATCTGACAGAGGCCAGGAAGTACATCGCTGCAATCAGCTGGCTAACTGAAAGAGGAGAATCAGTTCAAGGTGATAGAGGGAGAAGCAAAGGAAGCAAAGGCATGCCAAGAAAGAGAAAGAGTTGAAAGTACTTAAATAAGAGGAAAAGTGAAGAAAATGGTATTGAAGAGAACTTGAAGAGAGCTTCCATTAAACATTAAAATAGGAGATAAAAAAGGAAAGTAGGTGCACTCTGCAGCAGTGGATTGCTGTTAAAAAGGATTGAAAGGAAAGTCTCACAGAGATTCACATCATTACACATGTGTGAGATGGGTTGTAATGAGGCTAATTAAAGCTTTTATGTTTCCGTTGTTAAAATCGGTTTCTCACCGGGACATGCTCCATTGGGCCCTCTTTTATGACTTGCCATGGCTGATTTTAAACCAATGAAACCAGAGAACCCCCTTTGATGTTAGAACAATAATCCCGTAAAGTATTCTCCATTCAAATATTAGAACATTAGAGAAATTCTTCATGGTGTTAGCGTTCGTATGCTTACCATATGTCTGAAGCAACCATTGGTTTTTACATCCTCAAGGTGGAGAATATAATGCCAAGTCATATTACTGGAGAAGCCTCATACCCTGAAAAAACAAGTTCAGACGCATGAAAGTTTGATATAAAGCTCTCAAACTCAGTGTGCTCAGTAAAACAAAAGATTCATAAAAGCTGAAAAAAGGAAAAACATGTTTTAATCTGAGAAGTTAAATAACCACTGTGACTGTAATATGACATTTTTTCTTTTACTGCTGCTGTGCACAATGTTGGTCAGAATCCAAATCCAAAACACAAAAGAACTAATAAGTCTGCAGTCCTCCAAAAAAGACTACTAATTGCTCTCTTAGGGGAAGCTGCTCGACTCATAGACAATGTGACTCGCTCTGTTATTTTTGCAAGACCTAAAGTAAAACAAATAAGACATAACATTTGATCAATCATGTTAGCACGGTCAGGATTTAAGTAGTGGAATTATGCAGCTAGGGGATGTCTTTATATTAATAGTAAATTAAGTTTATTGAAGCCATGTCCAACAGCAAAGTGTTTCTCTGTAATAAGTCACCTTCTTTCTAAATCATCTCTTGAGCCCAGGCTGCTGTATGTGCAAACTTAAGGCTAACTTAAGTCTTCCATATGCCTTAACCTTGAGGCAAAACGTGTGGCTTATAATTTGATGGCACCATTCTGTATGTAGTAATTGAACAGTCAACTCTACGGTAGTCCTTTCCTCGTCTCTGATCTGTGCTTTCTTGTCATTAGACCTTCAATTCTTTTTCAGACTTCTCCAGTTTTTTATAGTTTTTTAGATAGTTACAGTAAAACACAACAAAGCGGTCGCACATGAACCAGCGAATGATGGAGCCAGGGTCACAGAGGTTCAGTGTTTTCTAGAAATCCTCAGCCGGCCTGATTGTTGACGACTTGGAGTCATTGGCAAATGTTGGCCTATATATATATATTGGCCTATGTATATATTTTTGGATTGGCAAATATTTCATCCAATTGTGTAAGAACATACAACATTCTTCATAGTTAATTGTTTGAGAAAGCAGTTTGCATACACCATACACCGAGCACATTTGCATGGTCCTGTCATTTCAAAATCTGGCCTCACAGAAAGTCTATATTTATTCCAGATAGTTATCTAGTTACCATTATTATTTATTTACAAAAGCAGACATATTTCTAATCTGTTATTTCTATCCCTCCAAAATCTGTGTCGGCATTTGTTTCATAAATGTCCTAAGGGTTTGGCTGTTGTTTTAGGATCTTTTTAGCCAGTTTGTTTTGTTTCTTTGCAGACTTTGGGAAATAGCTGTAATGCTTATAGCCATGGTCCAAACGGCAGCTCATGTTTGAAATTCCTCTACCATATTCTATTAAATGTTGTTTGAGCAGAAAAGTAAAAACATCCTTACAAAGTGAAGTATTTTTCTCAAGGTTAAAATCTGGTCATGGCTTAAGTCTTTTTGTGGATTAAGTTTCCACTATGTTTTTGTTGACGAGAAGCCATCGTCCTCTGCTTTAATCAGGGCAACGTTTGTGTCTTTGAAACAGACATCCCAGATAAAGTGCAGCCTTTATTACAGTGCTAACCTCTCTGCTTTGCCTTACTGCAATTATCTCTGACGTTTGCTGATCATGGTTTGACAAACATCCCCGTCTTGTTAATCCTGACGTTGCCTTTGTTTTATGTTTCTAACATACATGGTCACACACACACACACACACACACACACACACACACACACACACACACACACACACACACACACACACATACAAACGCACATGCACATGCACACACACACACACACAATATTAATTCAAGTTGAGGTTTATCTGTTTGCCTTGTGTCAGTGATGCTCACTTTAATTACTGTGTCTTTGCAGTCTCACTCCATGCATTCTGATGAGCCTTGTATTTGAATAGACTCACACACACACACACACACACACACACACACACACACACACACACACACACACACTGGCTAAAATATGAGGAACAGGTCAATTAAAGGGCCGTTCACTGTCCAGCGTGTTTTAATTAAAGTAACAGTGAAATGTAAACTTGCTTCTAATTATGATTAGCCTTAATTAGCTGTCATTCTGACATTAATTGCTTTTGAATACAGCTGACCTCCAAATGCTTCATCTCCAAGAACCCACATTAGCTTTTAGTTTGAGTGGCTTAATTTAATCTATGTCTCACTGATATGTTATAGTTCCTTCAAACACATTTCTATGGATATAGGTTCATGCATACTGTGTTCTTCGTACAATTTTATAAGTACATATGTTTTTAACATTTTATTCATAATGTGATGTGTTCTTCCCCTCAGGCTCTTCTGGATACTGTGGTGAAGAAGAGCGACGGTTACAGCGTGGAGCAGCTAGAGAGACTCTACTCCCTCCTCAGCCAGTGTATCTACCAGCACCGCAGAGAGTACGACAAAACCCAGCTACTGGAGGTCAGACACTTTTGTATCATTCTTTTTAAAAGTCCTTTCTCGATGAGGATTTATCAGTACAAAAGCCATTAGTGTTGTATTAAAAATATTTGATGCCATAACATCCCATAATGCAATGCAATTCATCAGATAATAACCTGCTGTAAGACGAGGACTCAAAGCTGATCAGTTGATTGACAGAAAATAAATCAGCAACAATTTAGTTAATAGGTTTTAGGTCTCTGGTTCCAGCCGCACAAAGGTGAATATTTTCTATTTGCCTGTGATAGAAAACGTAATATCTACAGTGTTTTGACTTGTTTAAGTGAAATAAATATATCAATGCTGCTTTGGTAAAATGTAGTGTACAAATTACAATATTCCTAAACATCTTTTACAAACAAATACATGTTAACTTTCTGCCCAATGTAAGACAACATTTTTTGAGGTTTGTTTTTGGGCTTTGTATAACTTTATTAAGAGACTCAACCTTGAGACGGTAGTTAGAGTCAGTAATTTGGGAGAGGGAGAGAGGGGGGATGACATGCGTTAAAGGAGCCACAGATCCGAACACGGGCCACCCGCCTGGAGGACTACGACCTCCGTACAAGGGGTGAATGCACCAACCACTTTGCTATCGGCAACCCTCAAAGAAAGATTTTTTAATTTAAAATGACTTTATTTTAAGTTGATACACTAATAAACTATAGACAGTTTAAATAACCTTGTAAACTCTGACAGTAGCAAACAAACTCGTATGTTCGTTTGTCTTTATTAGACTATTGATACGTAATAGTCTACAATGCGCTCTGTGGTCTCGCGGTACAAAAAAATCTTTTCAGTCATACAGTAAAATGTTGATGTCAGTGTGCTAAATATGAACATAATAAAAGACTATTAAGACACGTACTGATGAATACAGATAGCTGCACCATTTGTCCATGAGCTCAACGGATTATTTCCCATCAGGTTTTTCATTTTCAGTTATTTGAATCTTATTGATTTTAATGAATATTATATATAATAATTAGAAGTCTGTTAATACAATAGCATTAAATGATTAAAATATTGAATAAAAAAAGTCCACCCCTTGAGTTGGTATTGTAACGCTGTCCTTGTGTAGAGTGTTTTCATTCAGTCCTCATCTCTTTAGAAAATCAAACAATACCTCGTACAGTAGTACAATTCTTTTATACGCAAGCCTTTTCATCCATGAGTAACGGCTTACAAAAAGCTCCTCAACTTAAGGTCATTTTTCATATCTCCATTGTTAAGCTCTCTTGACAATGTTCAACACAGAAAAGGCTGCAGTGTTTTTTTTCCCTCCCAGAATCCCATCTGGTCATCTGCCGCTCCTTCTGTAGATGTCAACGCAGACAGCTGGCCAGGACTGACAGCGTCCTGGTGCCGGTAGCCAGAACTGGCTGTCAGGATGTCAGAGAGAGGAAGCTGTAGAGACAGTTGGGGGGCGAGCAGTCAGCCAGGTGGTGCCGCCTGTCGACTGGCTGGTGGATGGTGAAGAAGGGAGGGCTTGTGCCTGGGTTCATTTTATCCTGCCAGCCTAAATTGGTGTTTGCAGAGCAGAAATGTCAGCTCGTTGGCACGTGTTTTGTTTGCCTGTGTTTCCAGCACACATCATGCCTCTGCAGCAGGTCATCTCTTTGTTACTCCCTGGAGGTTTCAAAAACACGCACATGCACACACGAATGAAGGGTTGATACTCTGTATGGCTCCTAATGTTGAATCCTGTTGCAGCACCTCGTATTTGTGTCTACGTTTTGAAGACGAGTGAAATGGAGCGTTTATATACGTACGTTTGTCTCCTTCCTCCTCTGGGTACGGCTTGTATCCGTCTTACAGCAGAGCTGACCTTTCAGCAGATGGAGTGGACTGCACCCTGCTTCACGTTAAAGCCAGAGGGACCTTGTGTGCTCTGTACACAACATGCCGGCTTTGTTCCAATCTACAAATTGGCTTTCATATTTCCCCAGGCCTAATTTTTCATGTTCTGTGTCTCAGACAGCAATTTAAGCTTTTGTTTGGGCCTCTGACCTTTAACTTGGACGGGTGCTTTGCCAGAGCTATAAGTGTGCCACTGGTCACATTAGCTGATCATCATAAGGGCATGTTATTTCTCTGCTTATTTGTGTGCTTGCTGCTGAAGGTCTGGCCTGAAGGTCATTTAATATCTATGCAGAATTCCTTGTTTATCATAGAGCTATTTAGTTATCTTAATGCATCTTGTTGGGAGTTATGCACATAGATGGTAACACTGGATGCCTTCATGTCAAGTAAAGCTTTTTGTAGCATGCATGCTCTATAAAGGTAAACATCTGGCTTTGGTGTTTAGCTAGGGACCTTTTCTCAACCCTCTTCTCCCCATGTTGAACACTCATGTAGAGACAGAGATGTCTCTATAGCATAGAATGTACTGCAGCTAAAGCCTTCATCTTAATGGGCATGTAGTCTGTAGCCTGGAAAGCAACACTTTCATCTAGACACAACACACAAAGTTGTTGTTTTTCAACTCATTTTTTCTTTGGTGCCAAAAAAAAAAACCTTGTTTGCTCTCATAACCTACACAAACACACAGCGGAGAACCCAGTTTCCCCCTGGGGTTATGGAAAATGGATCTGTGAAAAAGTAGAAAAGACAGGTTCAAGGAAGGCGGATACACCAAAGTACTTTACAACTGGTTTTCTCTGATTATATGTTGATGACCTCTTTGCGAGGTACGATTCATTATTTTGCCATGTGTTACCTCCTGAGTGATACAGGAAACCACATTTTCTTGCTACCTAGAGAGAAAAGTGCTCTACAGGCATTGTGTTAGTAAGATGGAGTAGATTCAGACATAGAGTGAAGGTGCAGGAGGTTTGTTAGATTTTCTCCTGTGTTTGAGGGATGAAAAGGTGATAGGGCTTCAGGCCCAAAGACTCCAGATCAGAGGTGCACGCGTCAAAGCGGTGAAGAGTTTATGTGCATGTTGGTGTGTGTGTGGGCGTAGAGCGAGACACGGCAAAGAGGAAGGTGTTAAAAGCATCAATGTGTTTAAACACGGGCTGCGTCTGATGAGCTGAAGCTTTCAGGGAATTTTCCATGTGAGCGACTTTTATGCAGTTGCACATGAGCTTTATTTTTCATACCTTCTGACATCAGCATTTTACAGCTTGCGTGACCTACAGTTGATCGTTTTGGGGCTGAGATAAAGTGGTTTTATAGAAGGTAAACTGACATGCAGTCTGCAGAATAGCATCATTCCTGTTACCTTGTAAACTTATGAAAGATAAGGATTGTGTCATGCATTATCATCACGTCTAGATCTTCAATTTACCAGGTGGCTACTCTTCACTTTAAGTTTCAGGATTTATCTTTGGAATCTGTTTATACATTTGTTGTCATGGAAAGGAAAATGATTTTGCAAGCTTGCCCTTGCTAACTTGCGGTGTTTGGCACCTGCCCGTCCAACAGAGAGAAGGCCAACTTTGCGGGTGAAAGCCAACACAAGACTTACCCTACCAAGACTTACCCTACTTTTGGAACAAGCTTTATTTGCGTTTAATTTTACATCACTGTTATTATAGTTTATTTTATTTGCTGCTACGTTTGCCATATTTTCCGGTTTCGATGGTGCCCAATGTCTGAATTGTTTATGTGATTTCAAAAGTTTTGAGTGTGGGAGGACTGTCTGGCTCTGCAAAAGTTTCCTTTTCTCTAAAAGTTGGAATTGTCTTTGCTGTAAAGTTGTTAGTTTTTAACTTTCTAAGTAGTTGGTATTGGTACGAGATCCCACTGAATGTCGCACTGACTCAGCCATTTAGATGAGGGAACACAGTGTAACATCTTCAATGCATTAATCATGGTCTATTGCAGGCAAACATCTATCTCTTTTCCTGCGGCTCAGATCAGATTGAATCAGTGTCAAATGCTGCTGTTTTCATGCTGAGAAAAATCACCCGTCTCATTCCAGCACAGCTTTGCTTCATTTGACATCATTTATCATGGTGGAAGCTGTTGTTTGCTGCAGGAAATGTTCAAGTAACATTGTAACTTGCGTACACAGATGCTTTTCGCACACCACACCGTAGGCCTGGGACGATATGCTTTTGTCCCCACTCCTACATATCTTGATTCTTGGGTGCCGATTGGATTTGTATTGGATTCAGAATACTTGTGATTCAACAAGTATTGCGATTCCGTTGTATTGATTATTGCAATTGTCTTCTCCTATCTAAACTAAGACAAAAAAACAAATCATGAAATAGTTATTTCTTAAAATCAAACACTCACCTTGAATAGTCCAGGCAATCTGTTCCCACTAATTCACTGTCTCTGTGATGATCACCTGACAAGCATCTGTTTTCTTTGTTGCCTGAGCATTGAGTTCCGCCCCATTTAGTATCTGATTGGTTTCCTGGAGTAGTGACATTTAGCACCTTGCTGAACAGTACGGGCTGAATAATCTCTAAACAAACAAGTACCCACAAGCTGCGGATTTCGTTCTCTCTTCATTGGAAACAACTCTGCAAAAATAAAAATGGACTTATGTAGTATGCAAGGTTGCGGGCTAACATTAATCCATGATCACCTCACCAGCTCTCTTCTTCAAGCGCATTCACTAACCTGAAAACAAAAACCTGGTTCATTGGAGGCAGATACAGCGGCCCACTCTGTGTGGACTCAGTTGTTGTGAAGTCTTCCCTTGAAAAGTTGAATGTTTATTATGTAAGCTAATAAGCTAGCTATCCTCACAGAAGTGAGACAGCTGTATAAAACTGAACACATGACAACTAGCCACTGGTTATCTTCTTTTATTTAGGATTAAACAACAGACAATTCATTTCCCAATTAATAAATCTTTCTTCATTGATTAGCTGGTTCAGTCAGTGACACTGATGGGGGATGTCACAGAGTTGTAGCCTTTTTAATAACCTGAAAGACTCAGGACATTTTTTTAAAGACAGGTACGCATTGTCTGCTATTCTTCTCTGTCAGGAAATAAATCTATTTTTAAAATTGTTCATTAAAGAATTCTGATACTGTAGTCGGTGAATAGAAGTAAATCAAATATTTTACCCCCCAGCTCTACAATCCAGTTTACTGTGTCGGTAGCAACTAAGATCTGTGTCTCTGTGTTTGTGTGTCTGCAGGAGATGGAGGAGAGAATCCAACATTTTGATACATTCCTGTGAGTCGGAGAGAATACCTATCAGGTTACACCCTGAACAGCCCGGGACCACAAAGATATACAAACTGAGTGGAGGAGAGTGAAGGAGCGTCTGAGTCCAGCCCTCATCAAATTAAAAACTAACAAAAAAAAAACAATCAACCAGAAAAATCCAGCACCCTCCTTTTGCTGGGAGGGATCACGACAAAGGACAGGGTTGAGGACAGAGACATTCAATGGTGCTATCGTCTCAGGAACCTGGCCAGATCCAGACCCATTTTACACAACCAAACTCCTAGAGGTGTGTCAGTCACACACACAATGCACACACACACACCAATGGTGACGGGCAACCCTGGTGCTAATCAGGTGCTATCCAAACTTTTTATCCATGCTGCTCTTTGGATTACTTCTTAACTAGGATGACTAGCAAAACCAACAGATCGGGTGATGTCATATCGCAGTTCTCTCATATGCACACACACACACACACACACACACACACACACGCCCGTTCACTTGGGTATGCATGTATTTCTATAGACACACACACACACACACACACACACACACACACACACACACACTCACTTAGATCCTCACCAGCAGATTTTGCGAATGCAGAGTGTTGCCAGGAGATGAGGACAGTTAATGTTCTGAATCACTGAACTACATCGTTGAGCCAGTCGCGCTCTTGAGTGGAACGCTTCATCACAGGCCAGTCCTCGCATCATTATCATTCGGCTTGCTTTTTTTCTGCCATTTTAGCTACTCGATTAATTCAATATCTGAGCCACCGTCAAGGATACTCACCCAGAATGATAGTTTACAAAGTTTTACAGCGACTCGTCGAGGTTAGCACAGCAGGACTAGAACCCATAATGTCCTCTTTATCAGGTGTGGAAATCTGTAAGCCCCCTCTGTGAATGATGGAACAAGCGTCTCCTGCAGATCACTCCACGCAGACCACCTCTGGCGTTCACAGTCTTTGCAGATTGTCCCGTTCTTAATAGTCTGTGGTAGCTGACCCCCCCCCCACACACACACACACACCCCTCTCTCTCCACACTACATTCTCAGTCTGAATGTTTCCCCTCCTGTCAAGCTGTGCCCGCCCGCCACTAAATATTTTTTTCTTGCTGTACCAACACCCCAGCTGAGGAACTGGAAGCATGACAAATTGGAAAGCGTCTGGAGTTTGCACTGCCTAGTGTGTGCCTTATTTCAACCGTCATATGAAACTCTGAAAGATGAAGCAGGCTCTTTTTATTTACTTCTTGTGACACTCGACAGGCTCAAAGTTAGGGTGGGTGCTAACCACTGAGGTCAGTGACCTTGAAGCATTAAAATATATAAATCTCAATGCCAGTCTGTCTTTTGAAAACATATCTTTGTATGTCTCTAACCTTGGCCAAAAAGAAATTTCAGTTTGAGAAACATTAAGTATTTTTAGAAGCTACACACCCCTCTTTCTGGGTGGTTGTCTGGCGAGAAATGTCTCACGCACTTGGAATATTGTAGAGATATTTAAAACGTATTAATGCCCTGTTATTGGGGAAGTTAGTCTCTGCCTGAGCAGCCAGCAGACGAATGAAAAATTTGACGATACCGCCTTCAATCTTTGAAATGCAAAAACAAACAAACAAATAATGCGAGTCCAACAATTTGTGGTGCCAAGTGTTGTCTTACTCCCTGTGAAGGTGCTGATATAACGAAGCCTGTTCTGTTCCAACTTTAAAAAAATGTTCTCTAATATGGTCATAACATCTTATGTATTATGTTGTGTATTTGATGATCATTTTTTCTACCTTTTTATACGAAGCTTTGCTTGAGTTGAGATTGCCTCCGCATGGGTTTATGGATCCATAATGAACAAGGCCATTCTAGGCAGTGCCCGTCACTAAGGTGTATAAAGAATGACATGATTTGTTTTTATTTCCTCCTTTCAAATATGTGAACCCACTTTGTGGATGTCTTTTGTTGTTACGTTCTCATTTCTCGACAAGAGAAGCTGGATTCTCATGTCTGGCCAACACAGTATACGTTATCTGACTGCAGTAAATGGAGGTTTTGCTGAAGCTTTATAAGGTTTCCGTGGCAGTCTGCCATATTTTGAGCAGGATGTGTAGACTGGAGAAGGCCCCCTTCTTTCTCTCCCAGAACTCTTGTCCAGTCCTCAAACCTCTCGGTGCAACTCTGACCCCAGCTCACCTCTGCCTTTTTTTCTCAAATGTGTTGTGACAAAAGCAAAGACCATATGCAAACTGGCAATGACAGGTTAGCACTTGGACTACTGCAGAGAGAGAAAAACCAACGCTACCTCAGCTTAATTTATTTTAATGCGGTAACTGTTTACTGGGTACAAAAACAGTATTTTCTCCCCTCCCCCAAAATACTGTTTCAACATCAACAGCAGTATCACCGAAGGTACCAGATCAGTCAAACCACGGCTGCTGCAGTAATCCAACAGTAGTTTATATCTCTCCCCGATTGTTATGTATGTTTGCATTTGAGCCAGATGATGATTGCATAAATTGTAAGAATATTTGATAAACTGTACGTTTAAATATTTAGTTTCAGGAACATTTCTACTCACTGAGGAGATAATCCTAGACCTGCTCCTTTTTTCATATTTTCAACCCATAGGCGTTAAAGAGAACATTTTCTGCCTCCTCTCACATCCATCGCCTTTTTGATTCTTTCAGATTTTCATCTCATGATTCTGATTATTTATTCTTAAACATGTTTTACATCTAATATTCAGTCAATAGTGTTTTTGTATTGTTTGTAATTGAACTAATCGGGAGGCATCACGCGTCCGTTTTTTTTTTTAACCGTTTTGCTGAACTGCATAGCGTTTGTGTAGCATGTCTATTTGGCGTGTACGGGGGAATAAAGGGTTTACAGGTCTCTCAGGTTCAACACGCAACAACATGCCCTTTCAGCTTTTCTATTTATTTCATTGCTCTGGTGCTTTCTTTGTTCATGTGGTTACCGACTGTGGCATACTGGAAGAGACTAACATTACGATGGATGTGGATATTTAATGAAAACAGAGTCCGTCTAGTTCATCACAGAGAAACAGGACCAGACTAACCTTCTTTTGATGTTTTCCACTTTGTCTCCTCTTTCTGCCAAAATAATTATTTTTTATGAATTAAAAAAAAAACACTTATGGAAATAAAATGGGTAGTTAAATGTCATACATTGTGATCTTCCTTTCTTATTATAAATTGTAGCCAGTTTGGACTAATAACCAATTTTTGTCTGGTAGTTGAGACTACTTAGTCCAGTATGCAGAAGGAAAGGGTTTGTTCTATCCAGAATGTCTTTGCCCCCCTTCCCCCTCCCCCCAGTTTATTTAGTCGAGACCTTCATTGCTTCGTCTGTTCTGTTTGTTTGTGTATTTAACACACCTGTTCGCAATTGTTACTTTAGTGTAAGTTATATTTGAAATGAAACATTTACTGTATTTCTCAAATAAACTGCTGTGATATACTTGAATAAAAGGTTCAAAGGTTCATGTGGTCATTTTTTCACACGCTGAATTCGGATTAAAGTAAAGGGCGTTGCATGGAAAACAATTTCTTTTCTTATGTTGTACCTTTGTACTCTAACACCAAAATGTTCTGTCTCACATCTTGCAGTAAATACAAACTGAGATGTAAACCTCGTGACGATAATCTCTGGGATTAAAGGAAGAATGTGCGACTTTTTCATCCAGTAGATGTCGCCCTTTAACACCAACATGAAACTAAAACAAACTGCTGTTGGTGACACCTCCACTATTCTGAACCCTCCGCTCTCCTCCAGCGACACACCTCCAACCCCTCTCCGCTCACGTTCGCTTGAAGGTGTTATCAATTAGAAAGCACCACAATTAAGCACCGTCAAGCGCAAGCCGCGGACACACTTTGGTTAACACTTGGCTTCATATTGCACATAAATTGACAGAATGACCATGATCTAAACAAACTTACATGACACTCAAATAAGCAGTGAGTAGACTGTGTTATTCTTCTTTTCTCTAGTCCTTGACTAAAACAGCTTTATACACAAGGCCGTCACGCCCATGTAAACATGTAAACACAGCCCAACAATAACGCAGCCAGCGGGACTCACACTTCTCACTAATTGTAAATGTCTCGTGAACCGTCACTGTCTACGTGTAAAATATTCTTCCTTTAAATAGAATCTTAACTGTCGCCTTCATTCATTAAACAGTCAAATCTAAAGACATGATACAGTTTAAATGTTTAATATTTGTATTAGGTTTTAATAAGCACTGGTAAATTCTCCTTTTCGATTACAGATTTACAGACATACCATTTTAAATTCAACCTCTTTTTTCTAAAAACATTTATACAGCATTTTCTTCAGATTTAAAAAAACATTTTTACAGATCTTCTTTCAGGTTTTAAAATATACATATTTCCTTCCTGTATTTACAGAATACAAATCCAATTCCCTGTTTGAGTTGCATTGTAAAAAAAAAAGGGAAGGTTTGGGTAAAGTGATGGAATAAATGAAAGATGACTCAACAGATAACGTGTATGATAACAGTCAGATGGTTATTGTGCTTTTATTTCTAGAGGATCTGTTTCAACTTGAACCTTAAGTATTCCCTTTCTATCTCAATCAAATGTTGAGCAAGTCACCAAGCTAAAAAAATAATTGGGTTCCACAGAGTAAAACATGTTTTTAAGGTTTCCTCATAAAATCACACACACTCCCTGACACAGTCGAAAAAGAAGAGACTCTTTAAATCAGCGGACAAACAGGAAAACAGGCGTTTCCATAATGTTGCAACTGAAAACAGTTCTTGCATCAAAAGATACTTGGCTCGCTTTGATTTGACTTTAAAACCTTCTCCTGTCAAACATACTTCTCCTCAAGGGACAGAAATTTCACCCTGCATTGGCTTTCACTGAGCATCATCAGAGTAAAGAAATATGGAGGGGATGAGTTTACAGAAAAGACAACAAACAATGAAGACAAAAATAAAGTTTACTAAGAGGGTCCCTGTGCTCGTTGGATGGAGGATGAACTACGACCATGACACACGCAGTACTGAAGGTTAGGCATTGTCTGAGTAGTTTAGTATGAGTACATTCTGCACAGGGCGTTTTTGGAGGGTGGGAAGGATAGTTGCTGGCGTCAAGTCTAGAGGTCACAGACCGACCAACCCTGGCTTCAAGCTGCCGTCACGCATCGTCCTTCAACCAGAGCTCAGCTGGTGTTTGGCATCAATCCCATAGTTAGGAGTCAAGGCCGCCCTCAGCTGCTCTGGATGTACTTTTTGATGACCACACAGCCGTGTCTGAACAGCGGGCAGGGTAGGGGCTGCAGGAGAGTCCACGTGTTGGTGTAAGGGTCAAAGGTCTCCATGTTGCTGAGGGCGGGACCCTCGCTGCTCACGATGCCTCCTGTGGCGTAGATCTTCCCTTCTAAGATCACCGCGCTGCATGGACAGACAGAATGTAAACATTTCAATGATCTCTTTTTTAAATCTAGCACGTGTTTGTTAGCTGAGAAGGTTGATACCACTTTCTTCTCTGTGTGTTAAATTTTAATCCACAGACAAAAGGAGAAAAGGCCTCGCTCTGTGAAATGTTGGAAAAGTCACATTTACACCAAAAGTAACCAGGACCCCAAAAGTACACCTAGGAGGTTCTGAACAGGGTCAAAAAAAAAGTTCCTCCAGCCCATCATCATCTTTTTCTTAAATTTAGAAATAAAGATCCTTAAAAAATATGCAAATTATTATGCAGATGTGTGACGAGCCTCATCTGTTTTATTCAGCTTTAGATATATTACAAGGAGGCCTTCTGGTGGTTAAAGTCCCGAGGACATTATTTAGACCCTGGTGCCTGTGGTTCACTCACACTGTGTTGATCCAATTGGTCCCTAGTTCCTGAGGAAAGTTCCTGCAGTCAAAAGAATTAAAACCTACTCAACAGCAGACTGTTGGGAACACATCTGTGTGAAGCAGATAAGTGGGTGAATGCAAGTGCAGGAATTTACAGAGCTTTGATATTAGATGGCTGTGACTCCCCGTAGCAGGAATATTGCTCTTATAGTTAATCTGGGTACAACAACATAGCCAGTCCGGAGACAACATCTCTATAAGCATGCTGCTGGTCTCGTTGGGGGCCATGCTGAGATGATTTGAATATCATTCAGCCAACTCTAAATATGGTAACAAGGCTACTTGGTCAGGCAAACATCTTTCCCTTTCAGGGCAGGTGAGGGAATAAATTAAATAAGCAAATATCTGTACAACTGTACTCGCTTCATAAGAGGAACAGAAACATGAGATTAAATTCTGAGAGGATCCAATCTGTGGCTGCCAGCTGATTCACACTGTGAACTACTATTAGGGTCTGTATTTACACAAGGTGCATGCTCATAGATACAGACGCACAGAAAAACATGCAGTACTACTGCAACACATTTACATCACTGTTGGGACTAAAAGAGATTGTCATATAAAGCCTAAATCTACTCAGAGAAAAAGCACAGCTGATCCAAATTGCAGACCCTGAGCTGCTCCTCCTGATAAACAGAGGGGAGGTGCAGGCCTGAAGACAGAGGCAGTGAAGAGAGAATATCAGCTCTCCTGCATGATGACCCAGCTAGACTTCATCCACACTGTTTCTGCGTGTCTGTGAATTTCTCTTCTGGCAGCTCTGTGTTTCCCTCTTCTCCTGCATCTCTTCTTCTCTGGTGTCAGACTTAGTTAAATGTAGCAGAACAGCTGCCTGGTGTGTGTGCAGACGCAGCTTATCAATAAGTCTGACAACATGATTTATGTTCCACATTTCACATAAGATCACTCTCTGAAAATGCTTCGCCAAATGTGTTTGCCTCTTGCTTCTTGGCTACTGAAAACATGGAAAAAGATCAAAAAGGAAACCTCAGGAATGGTCAGCAGTGGGTCCTATGTTCTACAGACTGCACACCTCCGTGGCTCCAGCTGAGTGGATTATTAGGACATGATCACACAGTTGTTAATAGTCATTTCTCTCTTTTATCAGCCATTATCCATCCACAAATTGTATAAAGTTAGTGAACTTTACTTATTTTTTTCCCTCTTCAGAGCAAAAACATCACACTCCCCACTCTGAATGAGTACAAATGACACATATGTCACATGTGTACAACCTAAACGTCGAGCTATTTCATGCTTTAAAAGGAATGAGTTTAAATCAAGATGAGAATCTGCTTTTACAGCTAAGCATGTGCGCCGTGTGACTGATTGGGCAAATGTCAAAAGCAAACCAATGAACAAGAGAGTAATTTTATCTACCAAGAAGAAGAAGAAGAAGAAGAAGAAGAAGAAGAAGAAGAAGAAGAAGATCACTGTAGCTTCTGGGAAATAATCTGCCCATAACAAGCTTTTTTTCACATTTTAAATTAATTTCTCTGATCAACCGTTTCCAGTTCCACAGTCACAAAATAGATCGAAATTTTAGCTTGAAAAAATTAAAAAATTTCATCATGTCATAGTAAATAGAAGAAGTGCAGGAATGCCCTTTTAGATGGCTCTCCTTGCATTTTGGCCCGATGCCATCTTTTGGCCTTGGAACCAGAAGATACTGTTCAGGCTGACATCAGGTTGGACATGCAGCGCTACGTCTTTAAAGTTAACAGATAGCAACTTAACAATCACAGGTAGCCATGACCTAAATCACATCCGTTCTTATCCAAGACTTTTTTTTTCTAAACAGTGCCATTACTTTCAAAATTAACTTCCTTAACTTTCATTGAAGGAGACTTGAAACTAGCTATTGTGACAATTTACCTCACTATTGTTACATCAATGTTTCCTGTTTTATTTTCGCTGATTTCACCTGGCTGCCAGCACCTGTGGAGTGTGGACGATTAGGCTGAGTCTTTCCAGGAAAGGAAGGTTTCTGATTCGTTCACTCTCTCTCCCAGCTTCACAGCAGCAACACCTCAGTGGTTTGTTTTCAGGTTTTTTAGTTACTCTCTGTTTAATTGTCCCCAAAAGTAAAATACAATATTTAATCCATGCGTGGTGTCCATTATTATGTTTGGCATTTGAGCCAGCCGTAACATTATGAAAAAGGTTAACTAACTGGAATACATTTTCTGATCCCATTTGAAAGATGAGCGTTCATTTGCAAAACAATGCTGGCTGTTAGGAGGAACACAGGTTTAATATTATATACAGTCCATGTATTCTACATAAACTTCCACAGTGCGCCAATGCATTATTCATGTCTCACCTGCAGAACTGCCGAGAGTGGTTCATGTTGGGTCCGGCCTTGATGTTGCCTCTGTCTGGGTCATAGATGGTGGTGGCTCGAGCGTAGGCTCCTCCCAGGATGAATATAAAACCATTCAGACTCACTGCAGGGGCGTATTTGTTATCTGAAGATATGAGAGAAAGAGGAAAGACAGCAAGGGGGGAGGGGGTAAAGGAGAGATTATTGTTAAGGAAAAAGCAGAGCTGAATGGCACACAGCAGAAATTTCCATTAATGTCCAATATTTATTAGCTCATTCCAAAGCGAGGGTGAACCTCACCCTGCTTTCTGTTGGACAGACAGGTGCCAAACACAGCCAGTTAGCTTGTGCTAGCTTGCTTAATTATTGTCTTTTCCATTAAAATAAATATGATATTCTCAGATAGCTTGCAGTGTAGCCGTAAACATACACGCTAACCCTGAAGTCATCGTGCACTTCTGAGGGTGATGAGCCCAGGAGGAGGGATTTGAATGTCTCCACCTTTAAGCTCAAAGTTTATGACAATATTCAAGAAACCAGCAAAATGACTATGCAACCATTTGCCTGCTTTGAGTGCTTATTAATTCTAAGTGAAAGATTTCATACAATTATACCACAGGGCGCTTAAGTAACATTTAAACATGATGAATATACAACTATGTTCTTTTTATATATAAAACTTTTATGTGATATTTCCTAGGGACCTAATTCAGAAAAGTTTTACAGACATGTTTGTACCACTTTACACAGTTTCTACTGTCGGTGGTGCTCAAAGTTTTTAAAAACTTGACAGCAGCTTGCAAGTGGCAGAGGCTGCAGCCGCTCACAGCTGCCAGCTACCAAACTCATATCTCTCCAGGGATTGCACATTCAAGTTAAAAAGAATGATTTTCTCCCACTGCGCTCTCCAGGCTCAACGGAGAAATTATCATCAACATTCTCCTCATGTGCCATTCTCAAGATAGTTTCAGAGAAGAAAAATGTAAAGGACGAGAATGGATAGATAACCAGTGAATCACAGAGACCATAAATAACTGTAGCTTTGTTGTTTTCTCCAAAATATGTCTTGGATTTGTAGCAATAAAAGAGAGTTCAAAATAATTCACAATTGCAGTACACCCTCTGGCATGTCCGTAGAGTCACAAAGAAAAATATAACACTGAGCATGTATTTGAAATACACGAGTGAACAGGTGACATGGTGCGTAATGTGCATGCTGTATAATTCCATCAGATACAGAAAATGAGGGAAAAAGAGGCACTGAAGCAGCACCACTGTTGATTTATAGATGATGGCAAACTAAATGAAACAGGGATTTATGAGGAACCATTTCAATAAAAACCTGCAGCTTCGAGCAGACAGTCCTGCTTAGTGGATAAGAGGAAACAGACTTGATTGACGGATAGATTGAGCCGACTTTATTGTCAGACGATGTCTAAAGTTTGACTCGCATCACATTTACAGCATAAACATTAAATACAAGATGCAAAGAAACATGCAAAGCCAGACCACCAAACAAACCACACTCAGTAATTTCTACCGAGCAGGCTGCAGCTGGCCAATTGACAAGCAGCATGAATAATTCACAGACACTTGGCCTGGCTGTTTTCTGCCACAATGGATGGGCATCCCTTATTAGGGATGAGAAACAGGAGATATAAAGCCTGATGCCTTACAAATGGAGATGGAAGCTCTAAGAGCTTCTCCTGTATTATAAAATCATCCCGCCCTTCTCTGGCTGTCACCCAAGCTTCTAATGTGAGTACCAATGTTATTATTTTTGCTAATATTCGCTCACAAAATGAAGCATTAGTCCCATTTGACATGAGAGTGCTGGAAGAAAAATGACAGGATCAAAAGCCGTTCATGATTTATCCTCTGTAGCCACGAATGCTTTTCTTTTTAATCCCTTGCAAAATTAGACCTAGTTATTACTAAACAGTCACAAGCAGACAGTACATACATATACATAAAAAAAACAAAAACAAAACGACATACATTTCAGTATACATATTAAACACAATGTCAAGAAACTTTCTACCTCATGTCAGGTCAAAAAACAACAACAGAATAAATCTCATTATATTACTATATTGATAAGATAGGATAATCATGCCTCTGTATCCCAGGCTTTTGAAGAATCTTCCAATTATTTGTACTTTTTTTCTTTCATAATAATTTACTCTTTAAGATGTAAAATAAGGGATCTTAATAGCAGTTTTTTTTTTTTTTAGGAGAATTCAATGTATACATTTTTCCAAGTACTACTATATTATTCAATAACATGTTTAGATCCTCTTGGAAACCCCAAATAATATTAAAAGGGGATAAAGACAAAATGATTGCTTGTTCAGCGAATGTCTTTCTTTCTTGTCACACATATAGGCACAACATACACATATGCACAAATAGGATCTATGGACATGTATTAATGGAGAGATGTCAGAGTGGTGCTGCTACACGGGGAGCTGTTGTGGGTTTGGTGGTCGGTCCCTTGCTCATGGGCACCTCAGCAGTGTCTCTCCAGCAACTAGACTTTCTTATTTTGCTCCAAACCAGGACTTAAGATTCAAGATTGAGCTACTGTCACCCCATGTCATATGATTTATTTCTTCCAATAGTTGACACATCATTAGTTTTGACTGATGTGGGGGACTAAATGACAAATGGACAGAAATGACCCACTATTTTCATTTCATTTATATTCAAATGCATATTTTTCACCCTTCAGACGCTTAATAGCGTTGTGTTATGTACTAAAAACAAAGCAGTCATTTATAAAAAAGTGACACTCAATATTGAGATGTGTGCAACCTCTCAGGTAACAGCTTTAATTTTCTGGTCCTGAGAAATGAGCTGCTCTGATGTCGTCCTCACATTCTGCCTGACGTGTTGATTTTCTTCTTCTACCGTCTTCATTTTATGGATATGCTGCTGCAGTCTTTCCTCATGTCTGTGTGTGTGCGTGTGTTAGTGTGTGTGTGTGATGTTTTGTGTTAGTCTCGAACATGGAACACTCATTCTCTCTGCTCAGCGCCTCAGGCAGAATAATAACAGGACGCTCTCAAAGGAAAACCCTTTCTGCCTTTTTCCCCACAGAAACTCTCCCCACTGCTTCCTGCGTATATCTCGTGGACTCAAAGTAAGCAGCCGGTGTGAGTGCTCAGAGAAGTACCAGGCAGATTTATTGCGCTCTAATTTAGCAAGCTTCAAAGTACGGCTGTCAATGTTCAACATCTCTCCACTGCTATGCCTCTGCTTTTTATCCCCCAGGCCTTCAGCACTGAAAACAAGCAGCAGAGATACAAAAGAGAGTGCACATGTAGCGTCTGTGTCAGCTGAAAACGTCCCATTTCTGAGAAGAAGCTTGCTATTCTTGAAGTCTTCAAAGGTCAGCTTTTGTCTATATATGCAGCTATGAGGTAAGAAAGGTCAAATTCAATACACAACTGACCACATTCTACTGTAAATAAAAACGAGGGAAAGCGACAGAAAAACAGGCTTCAACACTGCTCCGATGTTAGAAGTACAGCTGTGCCTGTGAGGCAACACGGGCTGACGCAGGCTCTCACACTGATATAATAACTAAATCACCAACTGTGGGACCGCTCAGCTAAGGGCAAGGACAGGTAACAAATAAGCAAGCACCAAACACAAGCACGGCTATGGTGCATCTTGTGGATGCTGCCTAGACAAACCCCTTATTGTTGCCTCGCATCTTTTACAATCTGAGTTGTGCATCAACACAGCACATATATCTGTTTGTATAAAAGCATGAAAACTCCCACAAGCACAACACGCGCACCGGTACATAACAACTCCCTCCATTATACCAACACTGTACACATCCAGATAAGACTCTGTCTGATTAAAATGCCCACACAGCAGTCGTCATCGCATAAACAGGATAATCTAGATGAAGGACAACCACCTACCACTGCGCATAAATGGAGAGACAGTAGAGAAAGTTTGGAGCTTCATATTATTGTACACCCACATCTCGGACAATCTCACATCAACATACACTGCTGGGTTACAAAAGCCTTCCTTACTTACTGAGCGCACTAGCAGAGGTTGACCTTTCTACCACTGCTTGATCGAGAGTTTACTGACACACCAGATCCTAGTGAGGTATGGCAGCAGCTTTGTGGCGGACAGGAAGGCCCTGCAGAGGGTCATCAACGCAGCCCAGAAAATCACATGTTCGCCGGGCCTGGCTAACGTCTACCTCTTGTTGCCTACGGGAGACATCCTCAATCCTTTAAAGACACACCTCATCCTGCCAACTACCCGTTTGAGCACCCTGCCCTCAGGAGAGCGCGACAGATCTATGCACCAATTGACTTACTAACACTTTTTAACAAAAAGCAATCGCCATACTGAACACTTCATTAAGGAATCCTTCACCTAGTTCTCTATAGACATCTTTTGAATAATTTTGTGAACTTTTAGTCAAAATCAATGCACATTTTTGTAGGTCACATATTATGTCAAATACACTTTACAAACACTAATATGTGTCCCTAGTCTGTCTACAAACCCCCATATTGTAAGAAAAGTCCGTCCTCTACGTCTTTTGCCCACTCCACCTTTCAGAAAATGTGTCCTCAAACAGGCTGTTTGGAGATTTTCCCTTCATGACATCACAAAGGGCAGTAACCCCTCCCCCAGGTGGGTGACACTCCCACAGCTATGTGTTTGATCTGTCCTCTGAGTCTACCGTCTCACCGTAAGCATTTGGGCATGGTGCAAGAAAGCCCAAGCCACCGAAGCCCTTCCAGAGGGGCGTGGTCCAACACAGCTCCCTTGCAAATAAATCTATAGAACCAGCTACAGCCTGTTCTGAGCAGGGCTGAACGAGAGAGGTTTATAGGAATGATGAAATACAGTACTGAAGCCGTCACATGTTCAGAATGACAATATCAATATGCTTCTATGTGTAAAGTGATGTTAAACAAGTTCACCATACTTCTTGTCAATGATAGCTTGCTAATATTTGACAGTATCAGTGCAGACAGTTCTAGAACAGCAGAGGCTGGTGGCAAAGCATTTACCTTTGTAGTCAATTGGTCGTTTATCAAAGTAATACAATTCCATGATTTTTTTTTTGCTTATTTGGCCGACACATTTTTTTAAAAGCCAAGCCAGTAATATGAGCCAACATCAAAAACATGTTATTTTGATTTTAGGATACAGGTGAAATCAAGTAATACAATTAAATTCACAAGTGAGGACCATTTCTTTTTCATATGTCAGTTTTCAGCTTGAAGACTCTGATCTATTTTTTGAAGAGACAGAATTAGAGGAATGCTGAGCGAGTTTATTTGTTGATGAATAAAAAAAACCTTCCCTAAGTTTAAATGTACATATTTAATGAGTACATTTCTCAAATTGCAAACAGCTGGACATTCTTAAATAAAACATGCTTATGGGATGAAAATCGTTATTGAATAAGAAACAATATGTAAGATAGCTACTGAATTAAATCATAAAATGACCTTCCTATATCATCAGACATTAAGGAAACATGACATGTTGAAGGGCTGGATTCTCTGATAACAACACAGCAGCCAGTATGTCCTCTGTCTAAGTTTAGATTCTGGTGCAGAATAGTCTGTTTTTGTTTAAACCAGAGAAGCTAGGCTGTTTTAAGGTCCACCCATACAGCCTTTTTAGAAGCCCCGTTGGTTTGCCAGGCAAACAGCCAACCAACTGGTGTTGTAGGAATGGAAGTAGGCAAGCAAACTGGTTCAGATATAACTGATTCTACCTGAGCATTTTTAATAAGCTCCATGACCACAAATGTGGTAAAACTTGCGATGCAGAGCTGGCTAAACACTGAAGCTACAGTGTCCAGGTCAAGTAAACCTGTGTGTGCATCGACTCTAGGTGGGAGGGGGCAGGGGGAGACAGCTCACTCCAATATTTTACATTTGTACACATTTTAAATGCGATGCGTCAGAGTTACAGATTCCTCCTTTAAGGCAGTAATTGTTTAAGAATTCAATTAAATATCCTCAGATCACACGGCCATGTTGGAAGATCTCTAACAGAGAGATAACTCGAACTCTTGGCAGTATGGTATCTGTGTAAACTGACCTTTCAAAGAAAGCAACGAGGCTCTTAAGGAGTTCACGGCATGTGAACAGGCTTATTTACACTCCCAGGTTTCAGTACATTATGCTGCTCAGCAGACAGATATATTGAAGACAAAGAAAGACACAGATGAGCGGATAGGCAGAGGATCCGCACATCTCAATAGACACGTTGACGGGACTATTTTTGGCGCACAAGATGTTGTTTTTCACTCTGCAAGAGAGAGGAGTCCCGATAAGTGTTTGTGAAACCCATTTGCAGTTCATGCAGGAGGTATTCCATGCAGAGGGAAATCACACATACCAGAAGAACACACATATCGCAAGCATATGCACACACACACTCAGATGCACAGTCATAGGACCTGCATGGAACTGTATTTGTGTCTGACGGTAAGACAGAGCTGAGGGACCGTGAGAGTCGTGCAAAAGAAGGAGACAGCGAGTAAGATAGAGAGAGATAAAGAGGTAGCTCAGAGAGGGAGAGCAATCTGTTGGCGCACTGACAGATGACAGTTGGTCTGTCTATTGGTGCTTTATACACAAACATGCACATATACGCCATGCAGGCACACACACATGGAGACACCTCCTGGCTCATTACATAATTCATGCGTGTGTGTGTGTGTGTGTGTGTGTGTACCTGGGAGTCTCTGGGGTTGTAAAGTTGACTTGAGGTAAGGAGATGTTGTGTGTGTCAGTGTCTCTCTGCGTGTGTGTGTTTCTCGTTCCTCCTCTGCCAGCTGCTCTGCCAGCTTTTTAATACCATTCAGCTTTCAGCACAAACACCCGGATTACATAATCATAATTTAGCTCACAGTATTCCTGCTCTGAAAAGGCACAAATAACAGAGAGCAAGTTTCTGGGCGACAGAGCTGAGAGAAGTGGCTCTACGCTGGTGTTTTAATGACATGATAACATCTTCTTGTCTGGAAACGTTGGAATTCAAACACACTTTTGAGTTTTTCTCTGATGCCTGCTGCTCTGAGTGTAGTCTGCAGAAACACAATATGAGATAAAAATGTACTTAAAAGAAACGTCTGGACATCTCTGTGCCCTCAGAATCCTTAATGTGCCAACACATTAAATAAGGCAATTCAGCATCTACTGTTATATAGAATCTCTAATCTCCAGAAAATGAAATAAAATGAAAATATATGTTTTTTATCTGTTGTATCTGCTTTTTTAAATCTATGGTTCAAATAAACACGGAAATTAATCTATTTTTGATAAATGAGCTGCAGCATGTAGCTTAGCATTAAGGTTCCTCATAGTAGGGATTTCATACCTTTGGACAGAGTCAGGCCAGCAATTTCCGCTTGTCAGTCATTAGCTTATGCTAAGCTAAGCTAACCGACTGCTGATCGTAGCATTATTTTTTGACAGACAGACAGTGGTTTCAATCCTTTAACCAAATCTTTTAGTGAGTCCTTGTGTTTATGTGTAAAAGCACATCTAAAGCCTAATATTAATCAAAACATATGTTCACATTAACAGCATTTATACTGTGCTGCATCTTAACGGGATTACACTTTGTAATATTTCTGCCAGTGGATAAAATCTCCGCACAGGTAACACAGCTGTCAGTGTTTTGAATCTCACCGAGGTGTACACTGTGTGTATTTCCTGTTATGTTGGAGTTATTGGCAGCTCGGTTTAAGTGTTTCTTCTGTTGCAGCATCTTTCACAGGTCCCTGTTGGCTCAGACTTGAATCTGGCTGCAGGTTTGTGAAGTGAATAACTTCACAGTTTGGCTGATAACATGTCTGAAAGCTTTAGTAGGACTCACCCGTCATGGCGTCAAAAGCATGGGAAAAATGCTGATGATACTAAGAAGGAATAAAGCAGCAGGGGTACATGAGGTCCTGCACTGATCAATACATTTTTCTGTTGTCTTTTTTTGCCCGGAATAAACTGAATGGAAGACTAAGACCAAATTTGTAGACGTTTTTTTCTCTATTTAGACAACATTTTGAAATTAAAGGTTGTTTCCTGTCTTTAACCATAGACTTTGGGACATCTTCACAAGTATTTTTGCAAAAAAATGGACAGACCCGTTAAAATGTTACAACACTTCTGCATGAATGCACATGAAGGGAGTTCCTGCTCTATGAAGGGCAAAGTGAACATAACACTCACAAAAAATTCAACCTCACTCAGTATGCTCATGACGTGCGACAACGTTTTACCTTAAAATGGCAATCTGGACTTCATGGATTCAATAGGAGAAGTAAAACATATGACAGGAAATGTGCTCAAGTAGGTAAAGTTGTGACAGAACTGTAGCTAGGCAGCAAAAATAAAAGCTCAATAAAACACTCCTCACTAATCACTAATGCGATGTCACTGACTAAGATAAAAGGAATACACGCAGATAAACGGTTACAGTAATGATGCTGCCATACATGCCTTTTTAGGGTCTGGGTGTTACGTCCCTAATAAAAAACAAACACAGATAATTGTGACTTGATAGAGGTCAGGAAATGCATTCATAATGAAGAAAGAGTGTTTGGGAATATCAAGCCACAACCAGGTACACACTGATTTAAAAAGAAAACATCATCATGTAACAAAAGGCAACACATCCCCTGAGGGAAATATGTTGGGCTGAAGTTTGTGTGTAAAACAATGCATGTGTCTAACAAAGGGTTAAACACTCTGGGTGTCATCAGCTCTCTTACCTATCATAGGTGATTCGATGAAGCTCCAGGTGTTGCTCTGTGGTACGTAGGACTGGAGGACCCCCGCCGAGCGCCCGGCCTCGTTCACACCTCCGAACACAAAGACCTTCCCTCCGCACACTGTGGCTGCTGCTGAATGGACCGGCTTAGGAAGAGGAGAGACCGTCTCCCACTGGTTGGTGATTGTGTCGTACCTGAAAAGAAAAAAAAAAGAGAGAGAAAAAAAAGATTTTGAACGCTATTTTAGATATTTCCACTTTGCATGAATAAGAATTTAAAACCAAATGAAGATATGGGTCAAGCTTGAAACTCTGACTGATATATTGAGTCATGACTCCACTTCTTTTTTTTTTTTTTAAAGATTTATTTTGGGCTTTTCGAGCCTTTTAATGCAGAGAGAGGACAGTGGAGAGAGCGGGGAATGACATGCAGAAAGGGGCCACGAGTGGAAGCAAACCCGGGCCTACTGCTCGAGACGAGAGTCTCAATACATGGGACGCGTGCCCTAACCATTGCGCCACCAGCGTGCCCCATGACTCCACTTTTATTACAAAAAAATCCACCTTCAGGAGTCTCTTTATTACTTCTGAAACCTCTAATGATTCAAAAACTAATCAAACACTTTGCAGTTCGTCATTAACACCCACACACACACCAATAATACACAGAAACACTCTGACTTAAAGTTCCCACTGGACTGAATTCACAGAGAAATGCTGGTTTTGGCTGCAGGGCTGACAGACATAATTAGCAGAATGCCTACACCACTAGGAGAGATGAAAAAGACCAACCATTACGTACAATGACAGCAATTAAAGCAATTACAAAAAGCAACATATGTTTGGAGCTACAAGCTATTAGTCTTTAGAGTTGGGCTGTGTGTCAGCGCCAAGCTTTGGACCTTTCTCACCCAGCGGTCTTTGGCAAAGACTTCCAACACTCAGCCGACCCAGACCGCCACAAACGAGCGCCGCCAGATGAAAGAGTCTGACACAACGGGTTGTGTGTGAACAAGACACTTTCTTAAGCTATTCTGCTCTTGTCTGAGTGGTAGGGACATTAATATGTATATGTCCTGACTTTCCATTTTTGTTTGTTGTGTTTGTGTGTGTGGTTTTGGACCTGCGGCTTCATTAGTGTGTTGTGTTAGCGTTGTAATCCTGCGTCCACGGGCCACTGATCAAAGCAGCCAAGAGCCCTCCAGCAGGAGACGGCCTCATTAAGGAGCCACAAACAGATCCTGGATCTGTAATTTAATCACACAGCTATTCAGACTAAAACGAGTCGTCCAGATCAAGGTAGTCTCTTGGTTTGAAAAAGAAAAAAACACCTTGACAATCAAATCTGAAGCCGGCGTCCCCCAGGACAACCAGCCGGACACATCAAAGGTTTGGGAAAAAAAAAAAAAAAAGTGAAGTCCCTTTGCTGTTTATTTCAAGTATGATCTTTTCACTGTTCTCTGTGACGGTCATTTGGCATTATGCCTAATAACAGAAGGTACACAGGTGTCTAACTATTTGTTAGTGTTCATTCATACGTTCCCCTCAAAGACAAACAAATGTGTATTGATGACATTTCTATGCACCTCTCCTGCAGCTCCTGGGGCAGTATTTAGTTGAATTTGAATGACACCTGGACGGACTGGTTGCATTCACCTTGCAGTGTGAGAGATGCTAGATAAAGTGTGAGAGGAGATGTTGGATCAGACTTCTCCAACTTTCTCTTTGGGGTTTCTGATAATGATTTTGGCATCAGTTGTGCCTGTGGGTTTAATTCAGCAGGCAGTCAGAGAGAGTGGTGACAGAGAACACACTCTTTAAAAAGGTACGCCTGTAACACTCAGGAGTGCCAATTAGCCCTGTTTAAACAAACACACACATGCATCAGGTTGAGTAACTGAGCCCTACTGAGGAAGAAGGACTAACATGTGTTTCAGTACCTGGCTGTTTAAATGACCTCTCTGACCTAATCGGTGCAGGCTAATAAATTGAATGTTCAGACACTGCTGAGTGAGGCTGGTTAAGGAATCAACAAAAGGCCAACAAGACTACAGCAAACAGCTGAGAAGAGATAGTGAATAGAACAAATACAGCTTATTTACTGATAGCATGTAATGTGAACATTGTTGCTTGTCTAACCCAAAGAGAGTAATCACCCGACTCTTCAGTTCCCAACAGCTCCACAGAAATGTTTAGCATCTTTCAGCTCATTAGTTCGATATATCAGCCTGCAACTGCATTGTTTTGGTTAACTTTCACTCTGTTCTCCTTAACATTGCTCAAAGATTTAGGTCATTTTAGAATAAAAGGCAGTTAATAACGTAATATCCAAACTGCCCTGTGAGAAACAGCAGTAAGACTGAGATAATGACTTGATGATGAACTGGTGCAGGAGCTTTTGGAGGCCAGAAACAGAACTTTGAGCAACAACAAGAGTTGATATTGCACCCACATTAGCCTCACGGGCAGAAACAGAATCCAGCTAAGTGCATGGACTGGATGTGTAGTTTGGCTAAACAAGGACAAGACACAATGAGCACTGAACAAGAATAGTGTGCAATAATGACAGGATGGAGAGTAAGAAGCTGATAATTTGCTGATACAAATGAAAAGAGATGACAAGAGACAGTGTATGATTGACATTTCTGTGCGCGAGAAAACCTCAAAGACAAAACTCTACAAACAGAAATCACTCAATGAGCAATAACCATCATCATTTCACTCCGTCGTAAGCTTTAGGGCTCACGTAAAAATACATCACTTTTAGTGGGATGTAGATCAAGAGAATGGGTTGTAATAAATGTAAACAGTGCACAGTCATCAAGCATTTCAAATGAAGCATGACATCAGGACTGACACTGAAAAGGTTCTCAGAGTGGGTGTTTAAGGCAGAGGAGGTGGAGGAAGACAGACAGACAAAGAAACCAAAACAAAAAGACTGTGTTCATCACAAAAACAAAGACTAGATCTCTCCTTGTCTTTCTTCTGAAGCTCTCTGTCAGATCGTTTTTTCATCGCCACATGTAGTGATGTAGTTTATCCATCCACCTGTTGACCAGCTTGGATTTTCTTTATAAAAGTGTTTCTACAAAAAGGCTGATCAGGGCACGGAGCCGTGTGCAGCAATCGTCTGCCGCTCCTGACAGGCTTGTTTCATCACACAGGGACAATCATAGAAATAATGCTGCAGGGTTACAGCAGAACAAACAATAGAGGATTGTGTTCTTTTATGTGGAGAGAGACACCAAGACAGATGGATAAAACGGCTAGACAGATTGTGAATGAAATAAAGAGGACAGATTTTCAAGTAGAGTTTCCTATGAATATGTAATCTGGATCAAGGAAAACAAGTTAACTCTCCCAGCATGCACTTGGGCTGACATGTCAACAAATCAGAACTGCAACTCGATGTCTGCAGTGTGATTGTGTAATAAAAGATAAGCTCCCTATAAAACACAATGTTTAATATCAACAGGTGAAATGTACAGTCACACCTGCCATGTTTGTTTAATTTGACGGCAGATGGACTTGCTTTACCTTCGCTAGTTTTCTTGCCCTGCAAAGTGTAATACCTGAAATATGGATTCACAGCACAGGAGTGTTCACAGAAATCTAATCTGTTCATGTTTACGGTAAGAACAAACATATCAACCAGTGTATCCTGTGACCATAGACTGCATATTATAAGTGGACTTAGTCTCTGTTTGACAAAGATACGCTTTCTAAAATTGATTAAACACAAATAAAGGAGATCTATTATTGTCATGTTCACCATTACTTATGTCTGGGACACCTATTGAGTAGCGTTGAGAGATGAGAGGCTGATAAACATCTTTATTTAACTTCTACTGCCATCAGTAAAATCCCTCATTACATCCTCTGCCTAAAATGTGTATGTATGTGTATGTACATAGATTCATTTTTAATTTCTTGCTTTTATGCATTGCCTGTAAAGCACTTTGGTCAGATGAAGCTGTTTTTAAATGTGCTATACAAATAAACTTGATTTGATTTGATTTTAAGTTCATTCCCCTCCCCCCCATGTGCCCACTTTCCTAAGGTTGGCCAGCTCTGTCTGGAAAATTGTGTGAGCGTGGGCGTGTCCTTAAAAGAGATGCCAGGGTGGGCGTGTCCTACAACTCCGCACCATGCTTTGCTCTAATATGTCAGAAAAAACGTGACGTCAGGTCAATGACATGTCTCGCAAATTTCTTGTAACATCTCATTCAGAGCAGCAGGAAACCACATCTGGGGATTACGCCAACAACTGTGTATCTTGTGTTAAAAAAAAAAAACAACAACTTTGATGAGATTTAGTATGGACATCCGACATGGTAACATTAAATATATGTATTTAAATATGGATCAGCTTAATAGATCTCCTTTCAAAATGAATGACATCTGATTCAGACGATAAGCATGACAAATTAACCTTCTAAATATCAGTTTCCTGTCAAAAAAGATTATTGAGAGGCTATGATTTGCTTACAACAACAGTTTGATTAGAATAATCATGAACATTATCATCAAGTAAACTTAAGAAGTCACCTTGAAGTCTTAAGAGGGAAAGAATTTAGGGAGCCAAAGTAATAACAAGGGTGATCTTTTAGTGTGTCTCAGTGTGTGTGTGTGTGTGTGTGTGTGTGTGGGAAAATGTGTGAGATTTAATTGGATGGGAATGTCAAGTAGGAAAGGGGACATGAGTGCTGCCTGTGTGTAAGTCGTACATAAATTACTGCGCTTCACTGCTCTTCAAAACTGGACGTGAGATGGAAAAGTGAGATGACAATTTATTACCAATGTGACCCTCCCCCCCCCATGTTGATAGCAGGCATGAAGGGCAGGTCTGTGGGGCAGGTCTGCATCTGAAATGATGTTAGCGCTGTTAGTAACAGGACAAAAAGAGTCTACAGCCAGGCCAGCAGCTCTCTGATGCTGTACTAAAGTGGTTATTGAAGCTAAATGCTAATGTCTGAACGCTAACAGACCCAAGGTTGCAATAATAACATGCTGATGTTAAGCAAATATTATGTATATACAGCGTTCACCATCTTAGTTTAGAATGTTAGCAAGTACTAATCAGCACCGGCTGAACGAAACGTTCAGGTGGGACCAAGAAGAAGCAACCTCGATTTTGTATTTATTCAGTTCATCCTGGTACAGACATACAGAATGTAGAACAGTTTTCAGCAAGA